TCCTCCTCCTCCTCCTCCTCCTCCTCCTCTTCCTCTTCCTCCTCTTCCTCCTCTTCCTCGTCTTCAGAGGACTCGTTCGAGCTATCGCTGTCGCCGGAATACATGTCTTCTAGCCGCCTCATCAGCATGATCACCGCCACCGCCGTAGTTGTTCTGAGAACCAAGTTGTCCGGCTCCATAGGAAGTTGGACTATTTTGTGTGCCACCAAAGCACGAAGTGCCTCGCGCCTAGCTTGAAAGCTCTCGAGCTTCCGTTGCCGATTCATCAAGACTCGTGATACCACGCCGCTTCGTCTGTAGCCTGTAACGTTGCCTTGTGGTGTGATTGGTGTGAATGCGCTCGAACGTTGTGCGGTATACGCCATGCGCTTTGCGCGATGTATGGATTCAAATTTGAGAACTAGTTCGCCTCACGAACCATGGGAAAACCAATTTCTGGACAATCTGTGGGCTTCTGGGCCGCTCTCTCTCTTCTCTCCTCGGTAGCCCATGCATTAGCCCCCGTGTTCCGCAACAGGGGCCAGCGGTACCAGGCCAGGCGGCCCGAAGATGGACGTCGATGATGAAGATCCGGCATGGCTTGAGGCTTGCATGGCGGTAGTCGATAGCCTGCCTGCCGCAAACCTGCAAAGCACCTCAAACCAACGAACAGCAACAGCAGTATTGCCGGCGATCGCAGCAGGTTCAAACAGGAACGGCAGCCCTCGTTCCCACGATGGCGGCGGTAGCAGAAGCTCAACAGCAGCAGCGGCAGTGGCGCCTTCCTCTGGCGAAGCACGATCGACTAGCCACGTGGTCTCGCGAAATGCTGCCGGTGTAGCGCCCTTTGGTACTGGTGGCGGGGCTGCTGGTGCATCAGCGGCAGCGGGATCTCACCGCAGCAACAGCAGCGACGCCAGACCCAGAGCACCACCTTCTTGGGCCAACGGGGGTCGCCTTCGCATGCGAGGAGTCGGCGCTCACGTGAGGGGCACTCTCTTTCACCAAGCTGTACAGCGCGCAGTATTTTTATGAACATACCGTAAAGGATACTTCTATGTAGGATAGATACCACATCCCCTACGTTTGCAAAGCTCGCGTACTCCGTCTGGCGCCCACATCAAATTATACGTTTACGGGAAGCTCTCGACGAGACGGTTCCAACTCCGCCGTTTTTGGCACTGCAGCTCTTTAATATGTAGTGGTCAGGCTTTGAAAATATGACCAGGGGATGTGATATCCTAAGTCCGGTATGGTATTGCAGTCGCTCGAGTGGAGTTAGAAAACAGTTGGTGTGGCATTTGAAAGGGGAGTGTGCCCGCGGGGTGTGTGCTCACCTATTCCCAATCTGCAAGCAGGATTCAGCCTCTTTTCAGGCAATTGGAGCAGTACCATAACGACCTACTCACGACAATTATTTGCATCGGTCGGAGTACCCAACAACGGCATGCTGCCGACACCTCTGATTCGCTGCAGTTCCCTCCCGATGTCCCTAATGACCTATTTGTACTTCTATTTCTAATGGCAGCCCGACGACGACATGCGAGGCGCACAAGACCGAGGCGTGCCGGACAGCTTAGACCCCTGCGCGAGATGTGAAGAAGCGGTCAGGTTCATGGAGTACGGGAACAACCAGTGAGATGCGATACTACGGCAGGAGTATCGTTTGCTTACCCCATCGTGGACGACGTGTTGACATCTGACCAATGCGACCGATCCGTGGCACTGACGATGCCGCCGTCTGTTGCAGGAAGGGATATCACGACAGTGTACCGCCCTCTCGCGGTAATGATTCCTTCTATCAAGACTCTGTATCTGCCCTTTTTTGCCCCAACCCTCGCTCCGTGTTTTGCTACATCCACGCACCCTCTCATCGTCGCGTCGCGGTGACCGCAGGTTTTTCGGGTGCACCAGCCACCCTCTGTGCAAGGCGACCAGAAAGACCCGTAAGAACGGCGCCGTGGTCGAACTCATAGCAGAGGAGACGCGGCCGGATGCCGACGCCGTATCTTCATCCGGCGAAGGTCTTGCCTCGGTCTTGGAAGAGGCGGATCCGACCGGAATCAACAGGTGACTCCTGCTGTGGCGCCGTTCTGGTCCGCGATCTGATCGAGACAGCTACCGTTGTGTGCCTTTCTGGCTGACTCTTTGTATCCATTGGGAGTGATCAGACTGTGGTGCAAAGGGAATCATTTCGCCTCCCCCTCCTCCCCCCGGACCTTGAAAGTTGCCTGTGTCTGTGTGGCGTGTTCATTACGTGCTGACCGATGTGGTGGCGGGAAGCCTCCCGTACGCACCGCGGATCCCCTGCTAAGAGACCGGTGCCGTTGATGCTTCGGCGACGTTTTCTCGATCCGCGAATTCGTCCTGGGACCTTTACTTCCCATTTTTCGCCCGCGATTGAGTCGACCTAACCCTTAGGGTATCGTCACGATGTCATGCCAGGCCAAAATGTTCTGCGTACCGCACAGCGGTGTTTTCACAAGAGGTGTGATGCTGTTTCCCAACCGTGCGAGGCACTGCAGGTGCCATCTACGCGTCAAGGTGCGCGGTGGGCACGTCGGAGGGGCTGCGAAGGCGGCGTGGCAGATGCTCCGTAGGAACGGCATCGTGCCGACGAGAGAGCACGGGGGCGCGGCGAACGGCGGCGGAGGCGGTATTAGCAACAACGGGACCAACGCCGGCGGTGTGAGCGGGGCGGCGACGGTGGGGACAGAAGATCTGAAGGCTGTGCTGGAGCTGGGCGCGAGAGATGCCGTTCGACGGCTGCTGAACCAGGTAACTGTTCATAGACCTCCGTCGAAGGTATTGTGGTAGATGGAGCGAATTGGGCTGAGTTCGCCACTTTCTGGCTGCGAAGCAGTCGTTGGAAATAGCGGCAAGGGTCGACATCTCGAATAACCAGCTTCTTGCTGGATCGTTATTAGGCGTGACCCCACGAACATATCTTGTGTGTTGACCGCATCGGTGTATAACATGACGGTAAAAATTAGCGACAGGGTGCGTTTCATGTCGGCTCGTTCACTTCTTCAAGACCCCGCGACCGGACTCCCCCCTGTCCAACTACTAAAGCCGACAAACATGTATTGTTGCCCCAGGCGGAGATGTCCTGATACTGTGAGGATATACTCTTTGGATGTTGAGTTTTGTTCCAGACGTGCATGCGGTTGCCCGTACTCCTTTCACCCCGGATAGCCTAGCTTACCGCCCGCGGTGTCAACACCCGACCGATCTTCATGCCTCAGGAGAGGATGTCCTACCGAGACATTCCTCAGACTACCTACAGCCGCCTCATGGCCTCCGAAGCGGGGAAGAAGCCGCCGGCCCCTTCTCAGGCGAGGTCGGGCAAGGGCAGGGCGAGTAAGGACGTCGCGGGCCGCCTCGAGCCGCGAGAGGCCTGTGAGGCGCTGCTGTACACCCTCCCCGCGGGGCTGAGAGAGACACTGCTGCCATTCCAGAGAGATGGCGTGCTGTACGGCCTGAGGAGGAGAGGGCGGTGCCTCATCGCGGACGAGATGGGCACCGGGAAGGTGCTGTTGTTTTGTGTGGCGGTTTCACACTTTCGGTGTTCTGCGGCTGCCCCTTTTCTTTTGCCACGTTTGAAACAAGCCTCATGGTAGACGAGATGGGCACTAGGAAGGTCCGGTGGTTGCTCTTCGCTTTTGTGATCCGCCACTGCCCCTTTTTTTGTTTCTTCTTTTGCTACGTTTTAAACCCAAGCTTCCTCATGGCAGACGAGAGGGGAAGAGGGAAGGTACGGTGGTTGCTTTGCGCTTTGGTGGTCCGCCGCTGCCTTTTTTTTCGTTTTGTTGCTGGTTTGAAAACCGGCCGAGCCGAGAATGACCCTGAGGTACATTTCACTTCTTGAGCCGTAGAACACATCGCCTTGGTTGCACTTGACTTTCTTCCGCTCACTGTTCGTGCTCGGTTGCCGTGCGGCGGTACGTGTGCGCGCAGACTCTGCAAGCGTTGGGCGTGATGGGCTGCTACAGGGAGGACTGGCCTTTGCTCATCGTGGCCCCTGCCAGCATGCGCCTCATGCAAGTTCCGCCCTTCTGCGCAATAAGTGTTTTCGTCTCCCGTCTGTAGCTTAAATGCGAGGGTACGGGTGTTGGATACCGCGCTGCTTCTCAAATATTTGCGCAGAGGCAAAGACCACCGTTCAATATGCTGCCGCCGCGTGTTCCACGATGCCACTCTGCATGGAGGTAAGCTTGCGGCGGCTGCGTATTGCGCCCTCTGACAACCAAGCTTGTTGTGTTTTAGCCATCTAGTGGGGGGACGGGCGTTGTCGTCATGCACCGCGCTTCATCTTGTTTTTTCTCGTTGTTTCGTTTTCTGTTTTTGTTTTTTTGTGGCTTCTGCGGTCCCTCAGGTGGGCTGAGGAGGTGGAGCGGTGGTACCCTTTTCTAGCCCCATCCGAAATTCATCTCATCAAGGGAAACAGGGACAAGCTCTACCTCACCAATGTCAGCAGGTGACTGGATCTCCTTTCCTCCTCAACGATTGCATTCACCCAACGCGCACTCGAAGACTCGGCAAAGCGGTAGAACCTGCCTTAACTACGTTTACCGCAAGAATCTGTCTGACCTCACTCTAATCCCCTCCCGTCCTTTGCCCTTCATGGCACACAAGTGGGTTTCGTGTACAGTCATAGTCCCGTTTAAGGGCTCCATATTGTCACGAAATTTTGTTACCGCTATTCAGGGCATCCCGCTAAGCAGGGAACTGCTAAACCGGAACCGCAACTGTAGTCACTTTCTAGATTACCCCAAAATGTAACACACTTTGTTGAAGGGACATCATTTCGTTTCTTGTTTCTTTCGTTCAAAGCAGCAAGACTTGTGGTACTGCTGTTGGTGTGCCCCTTGCTCTCTCTCCCCTCTTGGCCAGGCACCTGTGGCCACGCGTCGTGGTGGTTTCGTACTTCATGCTGAGGATCCTGTCCGCCAGCGTTGGGAAGGGCGACTGGAAAGCGGTACGACTGATTCGCAAGTGAATGAGATTGAGTTTTTTTCATTCGGGGTGTGATTTATTAAAACCTGTTGGTCAGTAATTCTTAGCAGAAAGAGTGCTTCATGGGTTGTATATGACCTCTAGATAGGAGGGAGTGGTCTGTTGCGAACCCGAGCGAAAGGGACGAGCTCGGGCAGGGCGTTGATGCAACTCCCGAACGCACGGAATAGTTTGACTGTTACACCATTTCCCGACGTGGATCCACTATTGCGTCAAGGTGGTACCGATAATGACAATGACGACGACGATCCATGCGGCAAACATTCGTTCACCGCCAACAAATGTGCACTCTCCGCTGCGAGAAAGCAACACCATCGAGCTGCATTTTTTTCGGACCACTGCTTAGCGCTGGTCAAGATAATGCAACACTATTGTTGACAACGACGGTTGTTTACTGGATCGATACGTGTGGCATATGCCATGCCATTGCTTTGCTCCGGCCCGGTTTTCGTGGCATCCTGTACGGCGTGTGTATCGGTGGGCCGACCGGACCGTGGGCCGGTGGGTCGTGCGCAGGTGATCTTCGACGAGAGCCACATGATCTCCACCAGCGTGAGTGTGTCGGACGGTGCTGTGCAGTCGCGACCATGTCCCCATGCACAACAGGAACTCTTTGCAGCCTTTTTGTGGTCGGTTCTGTGCATCCACGCCCCTACTTCGTGTCACATGCGCAACAGGAATATTTTGCAGATTTGTTGCTGTCGTCGGCGTGCAGCCCATGACGCCATGCTCCCACGGGCACAATAAGCGGAGTCTTTTGCAGGTCTGTTGTGGGGGGGCGGTCAAACGCCCACCTGTGTTTCGCTCTTGTCGTGCCGAGGGTGCGCCACAGGTCTTCATGAGCATACACCTGAGGCCACCCTCTGCAGCGCTGAATGTTGCGCCGTTCCGGCCTTTAAGCAGATCGAATGCAAATGGGAGAGCATCGAGAATATCGCCAAGCGGCGACTTAGTTGAAACAGACGGCCAGTGAGCACGTGGGCTGGACTCCAGAGGACGGATGGGCGTATTTGTTGGAGTCAGGCGATATCTCGGCTGTTTTTGCTCTTGCTATGTTTTCTGCTGCCTTGAATGCTTCTGCTGCTGTTGCCCGACTTGTCGATGCATGGAACAACTTTTTTTTCTGTGTACACCAACACCCCGAGAAACCGCTAGCCAGCACACACAAGGGGCTGATCTTTCCTACCACCAGTACAAGTGTTCCTATTGTCCTCGCCCGTAAACAGTGTCAGCCCCTCTTCCAAACACTGCGCCCGTGCGAGTCACGCGTGCGAGTGACGGGCGGGCGTATCGACAGACGTTGTCGCCTCGCGTGTGCTTTCGTTTTCCGCTCCAGCTCGGAGGCGAGAGTGCGCAGTCGCAGCAGGTGACGGTGTGCAGGCAAGTGGCCGGAAGGGCTAAGCGGGTGGTCATGCTCTCCGGAACTCCTTCTCTGTCCAAGCCCTTTGACCTCTTCAACCAGGCAAGGGGAATAACTTTGCTTTGTCTAAGCGAGAGCACCAGCTTTTGTTTTTCCCTCCCCATCCAAGAACACCCCCCCCCCGGTGTTTGCCATCGGGGTTGGGTTTTCGTCGCTTGGGAAAGACGTTGTAAAACAAGCCAATTCACTTCGTGAACTCGGCAACCAGGTTACCGTTTTTTTTTTTTGCCTCCGTTTTTTTTTTTGCGGTAACCATAATGGTGGTCGAGTAGATCATGTTGTGCGGGGTGGAGAACCCTCACTCCGCGCAAGGGGGATGATCGCACCACGTTGTGTTAAAATGGTCAAGCACCCTCGAGGCAGTTACACAGTGCTTACAACTGTCTCTGGAAGTGAAAGCACCAGAAAATAAATTAATTCATACGCAGCTGTCATCCGTACGCAAGGAAGTAAGCACAAGATGCCGAACACCCTTAGCAGGATGCAGCGCACCCTTCATGCGACTCGCCGAATATCTCACGGCGCTTCGCGCTTGGTGATGTGAGAGCCTGGTCCGGTGAGAACCCGGCGTGCTCCGTCCCGGCTTTGTAGGGATGCGAGGTCAATGGTCTAACGACTACGGCATGCACGACTATGAGTACACCCTCCCCCCCCCATCCAAGAACAAAATAACAAAGGATAGCACGGACGGATAGCGCAGCTAGTGTTGCGATTGTCGGGGTGGCGGGTGGGAAAACACGTGAAAAAAATGCGCCGTGTTTTCTCTGCCCCCCCACCTTTCTACGTAGATGTCCCCCTTCTTGCCCAAGCGGCATCTGCAGAACATTCGGGGTGGACGAGAACCTGGACTGGGTCAGCCTCCCGGGCGGGAGCTGTTTGAAGTGACGTACACCACCTGGAGATATGATTAGGCGACACAAGAGGAGGAGCAGTGTCAAGTTGTTGTGTGCTCTGTCTCTCTCTTGTTGTCGCCTTGGCAAGGCCATTGGGCACCGAGGCGCGAAACGAAAGCAACCTCTACAGTTTCACGCCCTAGCCACGGGCGGGGCTAGCTCGACAAACATGCTTTTTCTGACTGTAGACACGCGCCGCGTAGACATGCGCCGTTTTGTACGCGTGGACGTGCGGGCCGCTACTTCCGTGTCACGCTTTGTTCATCTGGCCAAGCAGCATGGAAAAAAAGGTGTTCGAGGTTGAGTTACGGACTTCAAGAGCATATACTTGCATTCTTCGAGCTTGAAAACAACGCTGATCCTCCAGCATCAATATTACAGATTTGAGCAAGTGATGATGCCTCTGCTTCGCATCGAAAGGGCGATAAGATTCTTCGCTCTTGTTTTTCCTTCCAACATTCACAACGCCGCCCGAGCTTACCACGCACTGCATGGTGGTGGTGGTACGGGTGGGTTACCATGGTGGTAGTCATCGCATGATGCGGGGCCCCTTATTTATTGTCGTGTCGACTTGAAACTGAAACTGAAGGTTGAGGCGCTCTCCCCGGGGCTTCTGGGCCGTGCACCCCTGCTCAAGGCAAAGCAAGGCTTTGCGGCCAGCTACTGCGGGGCAACCATGTGGGCGAAGAGTGCAATGATACGAACAGGAATTATTCGTTTTTCTCTCGCTTTGTTATTTTCTTGAGGTCGATTTCTGTTGCCTTTGTAAGTCACAATTATCCTTCAGGAAAGTCGGCGAACGTGGACGGTCAGTCTCTCTTGTGGCATGTGCCCGGGTGCTCGCGCATTGCACGATGTCTCCCGGCGGTACGTGCTTGCCCCCTCCTGTCGTGTGTGAATATTGGATTGCGCTGCGTTGCTACCGTGGGCCAACACGATGAAACGTATCAGCTCCTTTTCATTCCAGCGACATGTTTATTGGTGGTACCGTAGGAAACGGGCATCTTTCGCCGGCGTGAGCCGCGTGCCGTGCCGAGTAGAACAACTTCGGCCGTTTTCCATACATCAGCATCTCGTCATCTTTGCCGTTAATTGTATCATCCCACGTTATCCCTTGAGACAACCTCTGTGGGGATATGAGACAACCTTGTGCAGATCAGTCTCAAGAGAGCAGAACCCCAACGTAAGACTACAGGCACGGACAACAACGCGCAAGTTTGCTGCATGCACAGAGACTCGCCGCTTCTCCCGCTTTTTCTGTTCTTCAACGGCGTCGTTTTTTGTTTTATTGCGTGTGGTGGTATCCCTTTTGGGGGGCAGGAGAGGGCAGATGTCGAGGGGCGGGCACGTGAACCGCGTGCCGTTCATCAGCGGCAGCGAGTATCCCGACGAGCTGCACCTGCTGCTTAGGAACGAGGTAATGATCAGGCGGCTCAAGGCCAACATCATGAAGCAGCTCCCTCCTCTCAGGCAAGCTTTTTTTTTCTCTCTCTCTTAGCGCGTCGTTTTGTTTTCTTCGTTCTCGTTGTTAAGGCTCCAAAGCATGTTGTTCCCAACTCCATCGCCGAAAGTGGCTCCTGCCTCTCTGACTACTTGCGTGCCGCTCCGGATGTAGTACGCGGTCCTGATCACGCCGCGACCATTGATTTGCTATATATTGTACACCTGCCATGATTTGTCACCATTACCGCCACGCGGTGTCTTACAAACTCTCAGAAGGATCGTGGTCCGAGTGGGAGAGAGCGGGGAGGCTCTGAAGCGGGCGCTGAAAGAAGGTGTGTGTGTATTATTCACTCGTTTTTGAGACCCAGAAACTGGCAACACTTCACACTCAGTGCGGGCCTCGCTTGCTTAAGACTCGGTATTACTTCCTTCCTTCTTGTATTTTTTTCACCGCATGGGGGCATGCACCCGTCCCTCTAGGTCACGTTCACTACAACGCTCCAACTCTACCGTCACACCCTCCGGCTTGTATGTGTGGCGTGTGTTATGGAAAGAAGGTGTGTGTGTACAATTCACTCGTTTTTGAGACCCAGAAACTGGCAACACTTCACACTCAGTGCGGGCCTCGCTTGCTTAAGACTCGGTATTACTTCCTTCCTTCTTGTATTTTTTTCACCGCATGGGGGCATGCACCCGTCCCTCTAGGTCACGTTCACTACAACGCTCCAACTCTACCGTCACACCCTCCGGCTTGTATGTGTGGCGTGTGTTATGGAAAGAAGGTGTGTGTGTACAATTCACTCGTTTTTGAGACCCAGAAACTGGCAACACTTCACACTCAGTGCGGGCCTCGCTTGCTTAAGACTCGGTATTACTTCCTTCCTTCTTGTATTTTTTTCACCGCATGGGGGCATGCACCCGTCCCTCTAGGTCACGTTCACTACAACGCTCCAACTCTACCGTCACACCCTCCGGCTTGTATGTATGGCGTGTGTTATGGCAAATTGTAGCGTGGGAATCATGAAATTTTGTAGCCTAGGACATCGGTCGCAATGCGCGTGTCTGTTCGGGTTTCGCTCATGATCACCGGTACGAAGATCCAATGCCCTCTATACCTATCTTGTCGATCTAGGTGGTTTCGAGGCCGATGCGGAGGTTGATGACGAGGAGGGCGGCCAAGGGGCCGCCGCAGGAAGAGATGAGCGAGGCCCTGGTGCCGGTGCTGGTCTGATGAGCAAGGACCACCGGGCGGGACTGAAGAAGGTACGGTGGTCTTCTGTATCCTTGCCGGCTAAAAAAGGTATGAAGGCAATGAGACACACGCGCAGCTCGAGAAATTCCAACGAACGAACATACATGTTATATTGCACAACATGCCGTTTTTCCACGCTCACAAGGGTCAATGCAATTATTGAGGTCATTTACCAGGTAACTTCCGTGCAAGCGGTACCACGCTCATAAGCACCAAACGTTGTGTTGCCACGGGTGCTGCGACTTGCAGTTTCTTTCATCTCCCGGGGGGCCCTACACGTTTTTTGTTGCTATCTCCAAAGGCGCCGACTAAAATGCTCGCCGTGCACGACCCCAGCCAGCAGGTTGTTTTTTCATGGAACGTGTCACCGATGGCGAAGTGCGTGTTCATGGAATGTGCGTTGGTACCCGACTCGCGTTGTGGTTCTCAGGTTTTTGGCACTAGAACTTCCGCGTACAGTGACACTTTCTTGCGGGTATGGGAACATTCGTGGTCCGTTTCGATACGTCTTTCTTGGGTGGAGGTTTGTATCGCTAGTGTTACCGCAGCCACCACCACTGACGTTGAAGTTGGTGGTTTCGCACGCAAGTGGTGGTTGTGGTCGTAAGCCAGTAATAGCGGTCTCGAGTCGAGTGCGATTTTGGTGCCAACAGTATGTTGAAGAACTTCTTGGCCTCTCAACCTGGCCAATCGATGGTATTCCTTTCTCTCAGTTCACGTGCTGCGAGGTAGCTCTCTTATTGTACACTACATTGTGCCCTCTCCTTGGAGGTTAAGCCTCCCGAGAAAGTGACCACTCCAACGAGATCCTCCAAATCTGATACCTCATGTTACAGGAACAGAAACGCCCCTGGCAAGTTGGACGGTTTCAATAAACACTGATGGTTGGCGCCGCCTGCCTGGTGTCTCAACAAGCGTGTTCACAGTTCTTCCCTGTGGTCTGTCTGTCCCACAGGTGAAGTCGGCGTCAGAGTGGGTGATCGAGAAGCTCATCGCGTCCGAGGAGACTCTGACCAAGTTCGTCGTCTTCGCGCACCACAAGACCGTCTTGGACAGACTTCAAGAGGCGAGTTTAGTTTTCTCTTAGTGCCAGTCGCAACTGCTGTCCATTGGTAACGGGTCTAGGGTTAGGGTTTTGCGCTTGCTCGCTGCAGGTGAAATCAATTCGACAGGCTGTTCAGTGTTGAAGCGTTACCTCCGTTTGGTGGTCGGATTCGGCGCTGGCACGATACGTGTTTATTCATGAGAGCACCGTAGTAAAGACTTCCTGTCCGAGAAAGAACCCCAACCGTGTGGTGCATTCTAGGGAACCCTGCTGCCTACTGGACTTATTCACGGTCTGTCCAAACCTAAAAGAAGTAGTGATTCCAGCCGGCACAGAACCATTCACAGTTCATATTGCATTTGTTTTCTTCTTTTATGCAGGCGTTCGAGGTGCAAGGCACGCGGGGGAGCACGTGCCCCTTCACACCGCGTGCGGCGAACGACTCCGACGACGCGTCTGTGGGAGCGTTTACTTGTCTCCGCATCGACGGGTCGGTGCCCACGGCCTTGAGGTACGCCGTTGCCCCGTGCCCGGTGCAGCGTAGCTGCTGCGATCGCTGTTGCCTCGGCTACCTTTCGTGTGCATGTTCGTTTGGCCTATTGTGGACCCAGTCTGCATATCTTCGGTTTACAGTTCTGACTCGTCAACCGGGGTCACACAAGAGGAAGGCCCCGCAAGGATTTTTTTTTTGTGCCCCACCTTGTCTCTTCCACTGTGCGGAGGAGATATCCGATTGCACACACTCGAGGGTGTCCACATCGACGTAGGCTTTTGCTTTGGCTTCGGGGTTGATGGGCCAGGTGCGTAGGTGTTTGGTTTACTGTATTATCATGCGGCAGAGGGGTTCAAGTCGTGTTTTGAGGGGTTTTCAGCGTCTTTTTGAGGCGTGTTGCGCGTGTTCGCCGTCATTTCAAGCACTTTGATGCACGCCACCCCCATCGTCGTGTTAGTGTTCGAGGAGGCCGTGTCAGCGCAGGGTTAAGGTGCGCATATCTAAACGCGCCGCCGTGGTTGGGCTGCCATCACCCTGCCTGGCCCAAGGAGCAGCCTCCAGGACGGCCCTGTTGCACTTGTCTGCGTTGCTTCACACGGCTTTCTTTATTTTTGTGACATGTGCGTTCCACACTTCCCTCACGAAGGACGTGGATAGGACTGGTTTGTTGAAGGCGTAGACAACACACACCGAGGTTTGCTGAAACCAACGGGCGCTCCATATCGACACACCTCTCACCGAGCATTTACGTCACAGCTTTGTAGAAGCGTAGCTAGCACGAATCGAGGTTTGTTGAAACAAAGGAGTGCCACACTCTCCCACACTTTTTTTGTTTTTGATGTCTCAGGGCCTCGAGGCTGTCGGAGTTCAACACCAACGAGCGCTGCCGCGTGCTGGTCGTTTCCATCACGGCGGGGGGGCAGGGGCTGGACTTCACCGCCGCCAGCAACGTGGTCTTCGTCGAGCTCCCCGAGAGCCCGGCGTGGCTGAGGCAGGCGGAGGACAGGCTCCACCGTCGGAGACAGGTCTGGATGTCAACCCCACTCCACCTGTACCCTGTCGGGGATGTTTTTTTGGGGGGATGTGTCTTGGGCATGCATGTGCTGAACCATGAACTTATTGCTGAGATCAATCCCCTACTCGGCGCCAACTCCATGTTTACGCACGCGGCGTGTTTGTAGCAGCCAGTCTGTCCCCACGCATGGATGTGCTGAATGAAGCATGTACTTATGGCTGAGGTCCGCCGCTCAATTCCCTACACGACGCCAACTCCATCTGTGCACATGCGACCTGTTGGTGTGTTCGTGGGGGCGTGTATTTTATCCGCCAGTCTGTCCCCACGCATGCGTGTTGTGAAGCATGTACTTGCAGCTGAGGTTCGCCGCTAAATACTTAATACCCGCACAACGACACCGTTCAGAACTCCATCTGAGCACACGCAGCGGCCTGTTGATTTTGTGGGGCACGTAGCAGCCGGTATGTCTCTCGCGCGTGTAGTGCTTTCACCACGTAGCTGAAACGTCACGGCCAAGGCAGACCTGCTGGTCAACTCGCACAACCGCTGCACTACATTTGTACACGGCCTGTTGTTTTTTGGGGCATGTTGCAGCCAGTCTGTCTCAAGCGTGTGTGTGCTGTTCTGGTTGAAGCTTCACCGCGAACATAGATCCTCTGCACTTGTACACGGCCTGTTGTTTTTTGGGGCATGTAGCGGTGAGTCTCACGCGGGTTTGTGCTGCGTCATGCAGCTGACGGTGCCAACACAGGTCCGCTGCTTGAAGCGCACGCCTCCACACTCCATTACCTACACGGCTTGTTGTGTTGGGGCACTTTGCAGCCAGTCCCACGCGTGCTTGTGCTGTGCAAGCTGAAGAGGGTGTTCGTGCGCCGCAGGGCGAGCGTGCTGTCTACCTAGCGCGTCTTCTCCCCTTGCTGCGGCTTGACCGTTGGTTGTGCTGCAGGAGCGTGCCGTGAGCCTTTGTGCCTTCGGCACGGTGCCGCTCTTTGTTGGTGTTGGGTATACCGGTCGTGTTGCCTTGCCTGCTCTCTCGAGGCGTTTCTCTTGGTACGGTTGTGCGTCAACCAACAGGCTTTGTAATTGTCTCCAGGCTCGTGTCGATGCGCGCTTCCCTTG